AGTATTTTCAACAACGTAATTTGTAACGAAAAGTTTTAAACTAAATCAAAGTACCTTGCTTTCCGCGGCCTCTTTTTTGTACTTCATGCAGACGAGCTCATCTTCATCTTCATCTTAATCTTCCATGTCACTCTCAGACTTTTCTTGTTCATCCACTTCAGTCTCAGATTCAGATTCCCCTTTGTTGCCCTCAACCTTTGGCTTATCCGGTACCACCTTCGGGTGACACTCACTCCGTTGATTCCCAGCCATTATTTATTTATCAGATCCAACCGGAGAATCGGTAACTTCCATTATATATAATCGGTAACTTATATATATATATAAGAAGGTTTCTTTTTTTCTTCAAAAAATTTGACAGGTGACTGTATTCTTTCTGTAAGGCTTCCACTTAGACGTATTTTCTCAAGAAGTTGCATGTGACAAATTTTATTTAATTGGTCTCCACTTGACATGTATTGCAATTACTTATTGTTTTAATTTCCCTTAATTACTATATTTAAGTCTTGCAATTAACTTTTTGAATTGATTTTGGTTTTATACATTTAAATTTAAATTTAACGTTTCCATTTGTATTAGTTTTTGTTTGTATATTGATCACCCAACTTTTTGCATGATCAAGTCATCAAATGACCTGTATTTAAGCCTAGCAATCCACATTTTCAATTGGTTTTCATTTGTTTTATACATTTAAATTTAAATTTAACATTTCCATTTATATTGTTTATTGTTTATATATTATTGTTGCATGAGCAATTCATTTGATGACAAAGTCAAATAAATTATCTTAATTATTTGCATTTTCTTACTCTTTTTCATGGTTATTGCATTGTAGTTAATTGTTAATGTACATATATATGTAATTTTTATTCCCTTAATTTACATTTTATTTTTAATTCAGTTTATTCCTTCAATAGTCCTAGGAATGCAACATAAGATATATTGTTATATTTTTTCTGTAAAGGTGTATTGTTATATTCATCTAAATATATTATGCATTTTTTTTATAAGTTTAGAAGTATTTATATTTCAACTATATTTACTTTAGTAGTTATTATTTATATTTCTAATTTTTTTTGACTCTTTTAAAAAATATTTAATATTTTTTTTTAGTTGTAAACTATCAAATACAAGTGAAAGGTATGATTTAATTAAAAATTTGGATGCAAATATAGATGATTGAAAATTAAAACGCATGTGTCTTTCAACAATAATGGAGATTTTATGAATACGGAGATGATTTTTTTTTATGAAAAGATTAAGTATAATAATTTGCAATTCAATAATTTACATAACCAACCAAAAATAATATTATCATTATAAATGAATATTTGTAATGCAATCATTAAGAAGAATAATGCTACTCAATTTCGATCACTTTTGAAATAAGACAATATATATGATAATAAAATTTTCTCATGGACAAATAAGTACATGTAATTGGTGATAACAAGTATATGTTTGCTCTATTTAATTATTTAAATTTAAATACTCGAAAAGAAAAACTTATGTTTAATAGATAATATTTTTAAAATTTTATTTTACATTTTTGTTCTTTTTTTATTCAAATTTTTTCATTTTATTTAGTCAGTAACAAACTATTTTTATTTTATAAAAAAATTATTCGCCTAACCATGGAGAGTTATGAAAAATAATTATGTTGAGAATTATTCGTATATATGAGCATGGAGCTTCAATATCTAAAATATCATTTTAATTAGTTACTATATATTTAATTAATTTACAATTTATTACTATATATACATTTAATTAATAATTTAATTTAATTTATAATGTTAAATGTATATAATATAGTTAATAATAAAATTTATTAAAATTATAACGTTAAAAAACTAATAATATGACAATTTATATAGCATTTATTAATATAAATAAATTATTTAAATTTATAATTAATGATAAGAGTGATTACTTTTTATATTAATTTCAAAATAAATCAAATGAAAGAATTTTACTATTCACATCTTATATTTACTTTTTTTTTCTTCATCTCTCATAAATTCCATCGTTGTCAATCACACCCTTTTCAAAATCTGTCCATTTATAAACTCTCAATCTCACCTAAAAAATTATGGTTGCATTTTCTAGTATTCATCTGTCTTTGTTAATATTTTTTACTATTATCGTATTAAGAAGTTTATTTGCAGAATCCATCAACAATGGTGGTTTTATATATATTTTTTATTTTCTTTCAAATATTTTTTTTAACTGTGCGTACCGCGCGTGTGTATAGCTAGAATATTTATAAAACAAGCATTTTTCCCAAACATGGGTCATATTCTTCCTATAAGGCTTCTACTTGGCATGCATTCCAAGAAGTTACTTATGGCAAATATTTTTAATTGGCCTGTACTTGACCTGTATTGCAATTATTTATTGTTTAAATTTCCCTTTAATTACTGTATTTGAAAGGTATCATTATTTTGGTGTGTGGTATTCTAGCAATGGAAAAGGCAAATAACAAGGATATGTTGCCATTGATTGGGCTAGATGCGTTGATGATATGGAAAGCACAATTGTTTATGCATTCTCTTTTGGTTGATGATTCCTTTTGTTAGAACTAAAGAAAAAAGGAACTTGTTGCTCATTCTACAGTTAAAGCTGAGTATATCTCTTATGAAGCTACTACCAATCAAACAGTTTGGCTTACAAAACTATTGAAGGACTTGGGACAGCAATCAAATGATTTAACTGTCATTTATTGCCAGAGCTGTTGCTCCAAAATCTTGTACAACATGGCAGGACTGAATACATTAACGTGAAGTTTCATGGTATAAGAGAGCCTGAAAATAATGGAGAAGTGAAATTGGTTCATTGCAGGTTAAAAGAGCAAGCTTTTGATATTCTAACAAAAGCCCTTTCTGCTGCAATATTTGAGTTTTTGAGAACAAATCTTGGAGTTCTTGAGAAAAATCTGGAGTAGAAAATTATAAAGTGAGATTTTTCTCAATATACAGAACTTTCAGAATTTTGTAGTTAAGTCTAGAATCAAATTATGTTTATTTATCTTTTGCTTATCTCATTAAGATTATATCAGAAAAACTCACTTTATTTTGATCATGTGGCTGTAGTTTTTGCTTTTAGATTTATATTAGATAGACAAGAGCTGATATATATACATGTGGTGTGCATGAAATGTGAATTAGATGATGGATTTTCAGTTCAAAAACTAACCCATGTTTTTCCCTGTTGTTACTGTTCATCTTCTTCTCTACAGCCTTCTTACTGTTGTGAGCATTAGATGGGTGTGCGATGGCTTTTGATTGGAATGGGGTCATGAAGATGGAGCAGGCATGATTTGGCTCAATGTAGATTACATTTTCCGTTTTAGATGAATTATTTTATCAGACAAGGGAATTTTTCTAGTTATTCATTTATTTATATAATTTTTCACTAATTTAATGATGTTTTTTTCTTTTTTAATGTGCAGTGTCCATATAGCTGGAGCCTGGAGAGTCCAATCGAAAGTTATAACAGATTGGAGCTGCAAATGCAAACTTTTCTTCCCTTAAAAGATAGAAAAAATGCTACAACTTTCGATCAATTCCCGCACTTGAACAACTGACTTTCCTTCTTGTATCTAGGTGCTTCTGCAAAGAAATCTGAAAAGAAAATGGGTTTGATTCAATTTCAAATGACAATGGAGAAAAAGTTACTGTTCTTTTTGTGTCACTTAATCCCTTCAGAAAATCAACATCAGTTCCGCAACTTGTTTATTGGCAACTTGACTTCTGTCGAGTTCCCTCTTCCATCGGACGATGTAGATTTACTTTTCAGGTAAAGATGAGAACACCCACTTTCAGAGTCAAACGCCAGCTTGAGCGTTGTTCTTGCCAATGATGGTGGCATTTAGCTCTTAAATCTTCAATATCATCGTCCTCACGGTCCAAATTATAAAAAGGCGAATTTGAGTTGTGAGATAGATTTGAATTAAGAAATTCTGGTTGAAAATCCTGATCTTGTCTCTTATGTAGCTCTCTCTTAAATCAATGCGAAAAATATCACCATATTCATTTTATATCAAGAATTCTCGGAGACTTCTGTCAGTACATCCTTTATTCTCCTAACACGGAGAGCCAATAGGAGAGAACCAAATTCCTAAGTAAACCTCCAAATCAAATCAAAAGCATAGAAAGGAAACATTTATATTGAAAAGGAAGAATCTTCCATTGGATTCAAGTGGAAGAAGGAGAAGAAGATATGAGAAAATGGTAATTATAGTGTCAGAAGAAGAATGAGACTGTGCATAGGAGCCTAGGAAACGCAAACAACAGAGTGAAATTTAAAGATCTGAAAAGATCAAATTGGTGACGGAGCTAACAGAATTAAGCAAGTAAAAAATATATAACCATTATATGAAACCCTTATTTTCTGTTTTAGGAAATTCTATATGTATGTATATGCATATAACAGGCTGTGTTATAACAGCAGAAAAAGCCATTAATGTTGAACCGAAGACCGGATCCATAGCCTATTTATAAACTAAATCAATGAAAATAAATTTTTTTTATTGAAATAAAATTATTTCTTTTCAAAAAAAAAAAAAAGATAAAGCAAGAATAATTTTTTTAAAAAAAAATTATTTTCATTGATTTGATCCATTACTGGCTATTGACCCGATTTAGACAAATATAGTCCGAACCGAAATTGAAGAACTCTTCCAACCCACGGAGAGGCGACCTCTGCTCTTAGAAGCAGAGCCTTCTCCGTTATTTTTGTTAAATAAGTATTTTCTATCTTTTCAAAAAAAAAAAGAAAGAATTGAACAAAATGCTTATAACTGTATGTTCCTTTGTAGAACCATTGTGCTAAGTGAGCATATGCACAAATGATGATAAAAAGCAATCATTAGCGTAGTAGACCAGTCCTAGTGGTCGAATGCCCATCTCATAGTAGGGTCCTACACAATTAACATAAGGATGTAAGCCAAGGTCCTGTAGAGTTATATAATAGAATCAGTCAAGGTCAAAAGGATGTGCTTATTCCTCTGTATGCTTTTTTAAAAAAAAAATAAAAATGGCAACAAGTTACAAACATGGCACAAGTATCAATCACAAGTAAAATTTTTTTTTAAAAAAAAAAAAAGGAATCAGACAGTTCCTACCATCTTTATTTCAAACCAGGATTTTTTTTTTCTTTTCTTTCAATACCAAAGTTGTCACCAATTGTACACTTTCCCTCCAAATATTTAGACCAAAATATGTATCTTTACAATATGGTAACCTTCCAACCATTTCCTTTTCATATACTACAATTGTGTTTTATGCACAACCCTTCCTTTCACCGCTTGAAAGTGAGATGAATCTTCCTAGAGCAACAACTAAAATCAGCTGTTACTGTCCCAAAATAATTCAAACATGACCCGTGTAAGTATTTCATGCAACGAAATCATGTAACAAATGGGAGGAATTGAACCTGTGTTGCCTGTTTCCTGGATTCAGGCATTCAAAATCCGTAGTCTCAGTCCCTACAGAAGATACTGCTGTGGCACCATAGATATCATCCCCCCTCATGGAAACAAAACTTTGATGGCTAGTACCAGACATCGGTAGACTACCATCCTCACAATGTTGCAACCCCAGGGTAAGAGACACTCCACTTCCACTCCCGAACCTCCCCATCTCGGACATTTGATAAGCAGCAGCAGCTGCTGCGGCCATAAATCGATTGCCACTGGCATCAGAATGAACAATGGCATCTTGGAAGAGACCACAATCATCCACATTGTGCCTTTGCTCCTCCCTTAGCTTCAACAACCCATACTCAGTAACAGCCTCTCCACGTGTCATATTTTGGAAATTGCTTCGTGTAGTTGATCCTGCCATTTCTACATCAGGAACCTGGTCAGATTTGGAATCCATCAGTTGTCCAGTACTGCATCTTTCAGTTGCTGTCGAACTGGCACTTTGTTGCATTTCTTCACCCCTGTCGTCATAGGTTCGCATGTCGCCTTTTGTTGCTTTGGCTACATTGTCAGAAGACGAATTAGAGTCCATCTCTGGATCACCAATCTCTTCTTTGTACATCTCTTCAACCATGGGCTTCCAAAGACGCACTCGTGCATTGATAAACCAATTTGAGACCTATGCAAGGCAACAGATATGTCTTTGAATTTCATGAATCGAACATAAAAAAGTGCATAGTGAAGTGAGTGATATTATTTCCATAGCCATTGCACATGTTGTTAACTTGATTAATGATAACTCAAAAACATGAGAAAAAGCTTCAAGATCCAAACAATATTGTTAGTACCATTCTATGATTTACATAATAATGAACACCTGCAGACAAAGCAAACATTTGCAGAACTTGTCTGAATGATTACAGTAAAGAGACAGGAACTACTCCCTAAAAACTCAGGAAGCCCGACTGAACTTTCCCATCTTCGTTGCATGAGGCTCACTTATTAGATCCAGAAATTGGCTCGTGCCGTTTCTTAAAGATATTAGCAACTGTTAAATCCAGTGGAATGCATATGCTCTTTTAAGGATCTAAAAGGTTGCGACGATTCTTGAGCTTGGGCTATACTACTACTGACATTTTGAGCAACCACCACTATCGTTCAGTTCTACACTCCAATTTCTGAATACTTTCCTGGCTCTTGCCTGATATTTTCTAACACCCCACAATTTTGCATACTGAGATAGAGTGGATTATTGTAATTCTCAAAATGCTAAACCCAAAAATTCTGATATCAAGGACTTGCAAAGTTGCAATTCAACTTGTTTATGCTAAAGAAAGGCTCTCTAGTCTGCCATGCTAAATGCTACAGAAATATGTTAAGTTCATTTACCTGACTTCTAGTCAAGCCTGTCTGCCTTGCCAGCATGATTTTATCAGAATCCTTTGGGTAACTGATGAACATCAGAAAATATAATTAAAGATGCCTTCACAAAAACAGCAAATTATTGTAAAATATAAAAAGCAGGGCTGGAGGAATTACGGGTGAAGGAAATGCTCAAACAGCCAAGCACGGAGAATTGAAACAGAGCTTTCAGGTAAACCCCTTTGTGGCCTCCATGCATGTTGCTGCATCATACCAAGCTGCTGAAGAGCCCTCTGTTGCCTAAGCTGCTGATCCACATATCGGAGACGAGTTATTCCAACCCCTTTACCATTTTCTGATGTTTCTTGCTCTCCGAGGCTTTTACGGGTTGCTCGAATTTGGCCATATATTGCATCACGCAAGCATCGAAAGTGGCGGGATATAGTCTGGAGGGCAAGTGCAGTATAAGGTTTAGCTGCCCCACATCCTGCTATCACATCGAATGATGACACCACAATCTGCATCTGATGATAGTACTGTTTGTACCTTCTATCAACCTGAGACAAAGATGAGACATTAACTTACCTCACAGAAAGTACAAGATGAAAATATTAAATTGATGAATCGTGAAAGGGTCTCAGCTTTTATCATATATTATTCATGTTTTAAAACCAAAAGAAACATAAGACAAATGCACAATAATAATAATACATGAAATTCTAATATTTTACTAGGATAAGATAGAGCAGAGAACTTAGGGCAAATATCAATTCTAGAAATTAAGATAGAAACAGAGAAACATAGACATTAATGCGTTGTCCAATGCAATAACTTCTCTTTCAAAGGATGCACCTAAGGCATTACTTTAGACTTTGCTACCCAAAGGTGAAATAACTTCCTACAATCCAAATAAAATCAACTATATTTGAGATTACAGAACAACATGAAAATTATTGCCAAGTTGCCACCCAGTCTTGTACCCAGGTTCGAGTCACAGAGCTCTCCTCTTGTACCCCAAATAAGTTTATTGCCAATGCTACTCAGGAACAACTAATATAGAATTCAACATCTCTTGGGAGAAGAGAACTCTGTTTCCTAATTCTACAAATATAAAAATCTCCACAAGACAAAAGTGCAAAATTTCCCACTGAATACATATAGTAGCATGAGCCATGAAAGACCATTGAAGCATGAATAGTGTAAGAACAGTTAATCAACCCCTTAAAGGAGATAATATAGTCTGAAGCATAACAGACATCTACACCTCTAGCTAGAATGAGCAATAAATTCAAGCAGACTTCTTCTTGTGCGATAATTTCCTAGTAAATAAAACATAATAGCTTTAAATGCTTGCAGTTTCCTTTCCTTATGTTTGCAAATACCAAATTATAAAGCCAATCATGCCACGTCTTGTTTCTGCTTCAGCAGTCTGTGCTTGCAAACAAATAGAAAGACAAATAGAAAGAACTAAACAAAATCAAACTTTTCACAGGAATTTAGTTTTGTCACCAGAATTCTGCAATAAGTTGAGAAAAAATAGCTACATCAATGCAGATAAAGCATTTGATCACTTCTGTAGTCAAGGTACCAGACAAGTAGGAGACAGATATGAACTCAGGAATAGGCTCAGGAACCAAAAATACATTTCTCTTACCTCATCCAACATGGACAAAAGTTTTGTCAACTTATTCTGCAACTCTTGTCTTTCAGCATGTGAAAGCTCACTTGCTGAGTTATTGGCAGATTCCTGAGGGTTTGCAGATCCATTCTTTGATTTGCTGTCACCATCCTTTGAACTATCCATTCCATGCTCATTTGTGCTTTGGTTTTTCTCTTTGTCAGGCTGCTTTAGAGCTTTTCGGACATTAACAACTTCATCAAGCAGTTGCTGTGCTGCCTTGAGGTACTTAGAATGTGGAATGGTTCTTGCAATACTCGTCATTCCATATGGAGATATATCTCCTTTATTTGAATCTTGATTACCTCCAGAAAAACCAGCTGGCAGATATTCAACATTTTTTGACTGTTCATCTCTAGAAGAACCATTCCTACCACTACCATCACCCACAATTGATGGGTTGGGATTTAAGAATGAAGCCAGGCCTGAATTGGGATTCCTGTAGGGGATGGAGGGCATTTGGATTCCAGACGGAATTTGTGTACCGAGACTGAGGGACAAGCCTTGTCCTTGTAAGTTCTGTCCACTAAGAATGCTGGAAGGTCCAGCCATTGAATGCATAACTAGCATCTCATTTCTACCATCCCTCCATGCACTGAAATCATGCTCCCCAATCCGTGATCCACCAAGATTTGACAAGATTTCTTGCTGCTGTGGTGTTGAATCTGAGGCTTCCACAGACTGAATCTCAATGCAGCCGTTTTGCTGCTGGGAATTCCCTGCCAAGGTCTCTGTGTATGATCCAGTATTCATATACATCATCATATTGCCAGGAAGAACTGGTGCCTCTGGATATGAACCCGGAATATATATCATTGGGGCAGCATCTCTCTGGTTATTTGAACTAGCATAATAAGTAGCCATATTTACTTAGTCTTGAGCCTCCCTGCCTGCTTATTCAATTCGGATTAAGTAATCATCTGAGGAACTGAAAAAGATCATTGGAAAGAGCTTCCATTATGAACAATTATATGATTCAACCCCAAAAAGCAAAGCACACAACTTGAAAAATTATCAGAACAATATGCAAAACAAGCAAACAGCAAAGAGCCAAAAACAATGGACACCGTAGGCAGATAGTAAAATCCATGGTTGTCCAGTATCATGAGCAAAAGCCATTATTGGGTGGCTAACATGCTCATGGATCATGATTACATCAGTCAAGAGGGAGCAATAGTGAATTCAATCATAAACAAAGAAGAATCAAGCACCATAATATTCCCCATTAGTAAAAAACCTCATTGTCGGACTTCATTTTCATTGGTTTCAGGATTTCAGAAAAAAAAAAAAAAGGACAAGTATAATCAGTGAAAAATCTCACGTTTCAAAAAAAAAAAAAAAAAAAAAAAAAAACGTCTTTATCAAAAAAAAAAAAAAAAAAAAAACGTCTTTATCCCAATCTAGCTCAAAAGATCCAAAAGTTTCCCTTGAAGCACCAGGGAAACAAGAACTAAGTATAAACAATAGAAAATTTGAAAATTCCAAATAAACTATTTAAAAACACAACTTATCAGATGGCCAACAAGTAAAAGAAAACATAAAGCCAAAGCAGCATAATCTGCAAATCCCAATAGATATTCAATTTAAATAAAGTACGAGTTACAATCTTATAATCACCATCCTCACCTCTTTCTCCTTCAGACAGGCAGAGAAAGAGAAAGAAGGAAAAAGAAAGAATAATAAAATAAGAATTGAGCAAAAAAGGGATAAGAGTCCAAGAAATTGAACAATAAAAAATTACCTGAAAACCAGCAACTCTTGTGGGTGTTTTGGGGAACAGAAAACCTCAAAGACACCACTCGATCTGCTGATACACAAATCCGATCCCAATACAACAAAACAATAACAACCCAACACTTCACTTTTCATTACACAATTCACACACCTATTGACTTGCGCAAACAATTACAAAGAATATACAGCAAGAAAAATCAAAATTAAAAAAAATTCCTTCCCCTTTTTTTATTCTATGAACAAAAGAAAGCGATAATTGGAAGTAGCAACGAATTTCTCTCACTTTCGATCTTTTTCCCTCATCATATATTCTCTGTCCATCATTCCATCAAAACCCCACGTGAGCATCTCTCTTTCTCTCTCTCACCGAAAGAAAAAATGATAGCTTCGTCTTTGAAATAGTTATCTTAGTGTGCCTTTTGAAATAGTTTCTACTTTTTTGCAGGTTTGGGCTTTTGGGTCTTTGCTTGAAACCCCAGTTGAGGAAGTGGTTGGTGCTATTGACTTCTTCTTGTTCTTCTTGTTGTTGTTTGTTGTTGTTGCTGTTGCTGTTGCTGTTGGGTCTATTGCTTCTTCTGGTTCTTCTTCTTGTTGTTACAAGTTCTTGGTCTTAGGGGTTAAAGATTTTGTGTTTGGTTAAGGAGTTCAATCTCTAACTACCAGTTGGTAGACCTAAAACCCTCCCTTAAACCTCCCATTCTAAACACCATACCCATCTCCCTCTCCCTCTCTCTCTCTCTCTCTCTCTCTCTCTCTAACTGCTCTGTTTCTCTCTCTATCAGGCTGTCTCTCTCATCCTTAAGCATGGATGATGGAAGGTCTGCCTCTGCTGCAATATCCACCATATAAGCATATTCTATTCTTTTTTTTTTTTTTTCAATTTATATATACAGTGTTTGTTTATTTGTTGTACTTTGTTTATTGATTATTTTTATTTGTTTTTTTGTTTGTTTTATTAGATTTCAAATGTAAGAGGAGCACCATTAGGTGCCCATATCACTATTTTTGTCCTTTTGTCCTAACTAATGTTTGAGTTTTTGCATTGGGGTCTGTATTTTCTTGTTTTTCTATTTCCCCCCTCTTGTTTTTGTATTTTCTTTTGTCTTCATTATCTGGTGCCCTTTGGACTATGGTAATTGGGGATGACCCTATTTTTTCCAATAATCACATTATTTTTCTTGTTTTTTTGTTAGATTCTCTGTTCCTTTACACGAGGGGAATAGTAGCTTCCTTCCTCCTAAATCCTATACTAGTATTATACTTGTATTATCTCACCGTTTACAAATAATTATCGTATTTATAAAAATATGTGTCCATAAATATTATATTTATAAATTTTAAGATACTATGTTCATAAATAAGTATCATATTTATAGATTTTAAAAAATAATAATTTTTTTCTATTTTACCCTTGCAAATGGTGAAGATTAATTATTATAATTCCAAAAAGTCTCTTTTTTGATTGTAAATAAAAATAATATAATCAATTTACTCGATTATTTATTACAAATTAGACAAATAAAATGACTTTCTTAAAAGATGAAAAAAGGTACAAATATGACAATTATTTGTAGACAGAGATACTAATTTAATTTTCTAAAAATGTCATCTAAATAGAGTAAAAAATTTTAAAAACTATCAAATTAAAGGAACAGATAGAGTATTAAAAAATTAAAATATAAATATTTAACCTTCTATTTATGCATTAGCAAATTTACATCATCAGAAAAAGTTTAACTTCTTTGCTATAATTTTATTCGGATTAAAAAAGAATTAGTGAACTCTTGTAAACCCATTTCATTATGAAATGACTAATTTCTTCATATGAAAGCATATGAAAATATTTAAATTGAACTTTTTAAATTTATATATTAAACACATTAATTATTTTGTGAAAATTGATAACAGAGGACGGTAGCTTTTAAAGATCTTCACCATGAAATTAAAATTAACTCAACATATTTTCCTAAATAAAAAGAATGCAAGATATTTGTTTTCCCTCTTAAGAAAACAAAAGGTAAACAAAAGCTAAAAGTACAAAATTTGTGATAGTTCATACTTGGTTAAGTTTTTGTATATCAAACGAAAATAATATTTTCTTCGTTTCATATATACAGACAAAATTATTTTACATAAGAATTAAAGAAATATTTTTTTCTCATGTTTACTTCATTTACCCTTAACACATTAATTAATACATCTCACAAAAAAAAAAAAAAAAAAACATTAAATTAATAATCTCACAAAAAAAAAAAAAAAAAAAAAAAAAAAAAAAAAGACAAAATGGATTTTATACTTTATGCAAAATTCATTTTAAGCAAGTTTGTCTATGAAAAATGGAACTCCCGAAATAGAAATTTTGTCTATATAAATAAGAATGAGAGTACCAATTATTTTTAGTTGAAAATTTTTAAATATATAAATAATTTAATTTGCAATTATATTTATTTTTCAAACTTTAGAAATATAAATTTTATTACACACTAAGAATAACTAGGGAAGAAAGTATGGTGGATTCCCATAAAATTTGCACTGTCTACGCTCAAATCCGCTTATAAATTTCAATACTCGTATCTATCCCAAATCCGTTTAAAATTCCTTTTAAAATATACATACTCATTCAAAATTTTAATACCTATGCTCGTTAAAAACTTATTTAACTAATACCCAAATCCGTTTTAAAAGGACGGGGTGGATAGGATACCCGCAAAAATTCACTATGCTTATATATGCAGTACCTCAACAAGTATATTATAGTTGATGTTCATCAAATATTGGAAGACGAGAGATGAAAATAAACTGTAGGACTAGAAAAGGAAAAGTATTTGAACATAATTTATTTTAGTTGTTTAATATTTTTAAGTAGTTAAGTTTTTGGCATTTGATATTAGGGTTTGGGCTTAATTTATTTTAGTTTTAGTAAAATTTGAACATAATTTGCACTTAAATTTTCACTTGGAATTTTTATTATATTAAATATTTTTAAATTATATAATAAATTTTGATGGATAGAGGGTATCCACAGTCTTAACCCTAAACCCTAAACTCATACCAAACTGTGGATAGTTAATTTGATACTCGTATTCGTCCTAAATCTATTTTAAATGGATGCTTGCAGGTTAGGTACCCACAAAAACTCACCCGCTTTAAACATAACTTATTAATAATTGCATGTATAATTTGACAATAAATGCAAATTTCAATCTCCCTCCTTCTACTGCTAAAAAAATGAAACATAAATTTTATATATACATGAAAAATATTCATTTTATTAAGTTTTCTATTCGTATGCGTATGCATTCTCTTTGTTCTCTCGTTTCCTAGGTTTCCTTCTGATGGAACTGAATTTTGGTGTCCTTTCTCTTGATGATGAAGAGGAGATCCTTGATTTGGCCAACAATCAAGTGGTTTCCCCTACGGTTGCTACCTATGATTTTTGTTTGGTGGGAATGTTCCTAACCTATTCTCGTATAAATGTGCCGATAATGAAAGAGACAATGGCTGAACTTTGGCATCCTTTGGGCGGTGTGACTATTTCAGAATTGGGGGCAAAAAAATTCTTATTTAGGCTTTATAACGTGGTGGATATGGAACGTATTTTACAGGGTTCGCCATGGTTCTTTAATAGGCACCTTTTGGTATTGGATTCTGTTGGTTTGGGACAAGATCCCTTGCACATTCCCTTATTGTTCTTTAACTGTTGGGTCCAGGTTCATAAGCTTATTCCTGGTTTTACTACAGAATCTGTTGCCTCCTCTTTGGGGCGTTATCTAGGTACTTTTTTGGAATATGACCCTATCCCTTATTCGAATGATGAAGGTGATGATTTTATGAGGATTAAAGTCAGGTTGGATATCAGACTGCCGTTGAAAAGGAAGAAGAAAATGCCAAATTTCAATGGTGGTTTTTTCTTTGCTTTTTTCAAATATGAACGACTCTTCACTGTGTGTTTTCTCTGTGGTAAGGTTGGTCACACAGATACTTTTTGTGATCTTCTGCTCAAGCACAAAAGAGAAGACTTGCAACCGCAGTGGGATGAATCAATAAGGGCCGCCGGTCGCCGGAGTAGAAGAATCGTTAGTCCTTGGTTACGTCCAGAGCCTGTTGTTGACCAAACTCTATTGAGGGCGGAATCTCAGGGATCTGCTTCGCAAATCAAGCCTACTTTACCGGCGCATGCTTTTCTGAATTCCTTTTCGGGTGGGTTTTTAAATTCTGTAGTCGCGGGAAAGGATGGTGGCATTCCTGTGAATTCGGCAATCAAGCCTACTTTAATATCCGTCGTCCAGAGCCTGTTGTTGACCAAACTCTATTGAGGGCGGAATCTCAGGGATCTGCTTCGCAAATCAAGCCTACTTTACCGGCGCATGCTTTTTTGAATTCCTTTTCGGGTGGGTTTTTAAATTCTGTAGTAGCGGGAAAGGATGGTGGCATTCCTGTGAATATGGAAACTGATGTGGGTGACATGGGCCAAGGCACTAGTATGGGCTTGGGCGAAGATGACATGTTGGACGGAATTGACCCATCCAAAAAACGAACCAAGATGGACCACTCTGCTGTTGGTGTTTCTCAGAACCAGGATTCATCAATAAGCAATCAGACTAACTTAACGGTTGACTCCTTGAATAGGAGCGACCGACAACTATGAGGGTCATTAGTTGGAACTGCCGAGGGGTCGGCCTTCCTTCGGCAGTCAATGCGCTCAGGGATTTAACTCTGAGTTATAAACCTGGAGTTCTTTTTTTTATGGAGACAAAAACTCATGCTTCAAGAATGGAGGAACTACGGGTGTTGTTACGTTTTGATTTTTGTTTTTCTGTGGACAGTGTTGGTATTGGTGGAGGATTGTCATTAATGTGGAATAGAAGTGTTCCTCTTTCTATCACTTCTTATTCTCGTAATGTTGTGGATTGTAATGTTGCAGACTCGGGTGGTAATTGGCGTTTGACATGTTTTTATGGCTATCCAGAATCTGGGCGTCGGCGAGCGTCATGGGAGTTGCTCCGTTCTCTCTCTATGAGAAGCCCCCTTCCTTGGCTTTGTGTCGGGGATTTTAACGATGTTGCTGCTACTTGTGAAAAGGAGGGAGGTGTTCAGCGTGCGCCCTCACTTATAAATGGGTTCAGACAAGCTCTAGTGGATGCAAACTTATCTGATTTGCCTCATGCCGGTTCTATTTTTACATATGTTTACAGGCCGAACACTCCTTTCTTTTCAAAAGAGAGGTTGGATCGGGCAGTCTCTACTCCTTCCTGGGGTTCTCGATTCCCTGAGGCACTTTGTACTGTCATTGCAGCGCCAGTTTCTGACCACTCGCCGTTAATGGTGGACTCTGTCTCTTTGTCCTCGGTGGCGGCTGCTAGTAAGAAATTCAGGTTCGACAACTCTTGGTTACTTGATTCCAATTTGTTGCCTCTTGTTAATACATCTTGGGTTTCTACTGTGGGTTCTGACTTTCTTTCTAGACGTGATGTGCTAATTGATAAAATAAGAACCTGGGGTCGTGCTAAAAATAAAAGCAGGTGGCAGAGGCGAGATTTTGTGCACCGTCGGCTGGTTGATGATGATGGTACTCTCCCACCTGAAGTGGTTCTTGAATTAAAAAGAGAGTGGAATGCGATTTTGGAAGAAGATGATATTAGAGTTAAGCAACAGGCAAAACTGTTTTGGTTCAAGAATGGAGATCGCAACTCCAGGTATTTCCATAACTCTGTTAAGCAAAGGCGTAGGGTGAATAAAATTGATAAATTGCGTTTGCCTGATGGGACTTGGACAACTAATGATTCGGATGTTCATTCTTTAGTGCTTGGAATGTTCATTCTTTAGTTGCTT